TTCACTGATGATATGGAGCTTTTCCATCTTCTCTTTCCACAGATGTAGTCTATTTGATTTCTATGTGTTCCATCTGGCGAGGTCCATGTGTAAATAAAGATTTATAGTATAGGAAATAATAAAAGGCAGTTCTACTCTGTGCTATAGGGTCTCTATAAGTCAGAAGCAACTCGATGGCAGAGGTTTGGGTTGCTACTTGAGGCTATTCTTGGGAATATTAAGAATATTAAGTATCAGAAGGCAAAGAATAAATGTCTGGGAAAAGTCTCATATACCTTCTTTAGAACGAACTCCTTTAATCAAACTGATTTCTCTTAGTATAATCAAAAAGAGTCACATTGTGAAAATTGCAATACTGAGAGGAAAGGTTTTAACTGATTGTATTACACTACTGAAGGAGCCCTGGTGGTATAATGGTTAAGCACTCAGGTGCTAACTGAAAGGTGTGGGGCTGGAACCCACCAGCTGCTTCATAGTAAAAGAGGTGGCAGCTTGCTTCTATAAGACTGACAGCCTTGGAAACCCTGTGGGGTAAGGTCACTATGTGTCACAGTCGACTTAATGGCAGAGGGGTTCTACTTAGGAGAGGACGAGGCTGTGGAACCAGAGCCATCACCATGGAGTCTTCCTGGACTTTAAACCACTGAGCAAGGACACAAGATTCAAGAGGTAGGAGTGGTGGTGGTGGCAGTGGCTGTGTGCCATTGAGTTGGTTCCAACTCACAGCGACCTTGTATGTATAGAGTTTCTGAGTCTATAAATCTTTATGGGAACAAAAATCCTCATATTTCTCCTGAGGAGTGACTGGTAGATTCGAACTACTGACTATGCAGTTAGCAGCCCAGCTCGTGATCCACTATGCTACGAGGGCTCCGACTGGGGAACCAATACGTAATTAGCACCCACCAGGTACCAACTAGACACTTTATCATGTCAACCAAGTGAATCTTGACAGGGCCCCATGAAATAGCTATTGTCACCTTACTTTACAGACAAGGAAACTAGCTCAGAAAGGACATGTAACTTACCTGGAGGAGAACCAGGTGACTCCAAGTTTTTTTTTATATATCTGTCTCTTTAATATCCAGTTTCATCTTACATTTTGGTGGCCTGATATTATTAGTGATTTAAAATCAGCAATAACCCATTACAAATACCTCAGTAGCAAAACTATGCAAATCACTGTCCTTGAACATCTGAAATAAGCGTTATTTTAAAATAGAGAACATGAAGTTAAGTTCAAGATGTAAGTCTAGAAGAAAATAAATTAATACATAAAGACACATTAGAATGGACAGACGAAAAAAAGCAACACTGGCCCAAGTCAGTACTTATTGAATATTATCTAGAATTATAAGGAACTCTGGTAGCGTAGTGGTTATGAGTCGGGCTGCCAACCTGAAGGTAAGCAGTTCAAAACTACCATAAGGACTTACAGCCTCGGAAACCCTGTGCAGGGTCACTATGAGTCGGAACTTAACAACAGTTTAGAATTATATTGTATAGAAAAGTTATACACTATTATCAAACTGGAGAGAAATGCAGATGGGAAATTAGTGAGAAAAACACAAATCATACCTCAATTCCCACTGTGTGATGAAGAATGCTAACTAAAAGAACATGCTCCATCATCAGCCTGGTGGGCATTAGAGTCTCAGTAACACAGGCATTCATAAGAATGCCAGTTAAAGTGTCATTCATATCTTTCCTACTGTTAGCCATATAGAGTTCCTCCAGCTGTCCACTTATAGAAGCCATATTTGGTTCACTCAACCTGTACAGAGGTGCAAATACAAACAGTTGAAATTAAGATTTTCACTTCAATTAAAAAAAGTCAAAGACTTACCAATACTACGAATATACCCCATTTTATGTATACTTTTACAACGAAATATTCTCAACTTCTCCTAATCTAATACACACAATACATAACTACACAACACTCTACAATCTTGACATGGTGTAATTATTGGGGATTATTACAACTGAAAAGGTGAAATGAGACAATAATGGACCATACACAGGATTCTCTGTATAAGTCCACAGAAATTTTAATGAGGATCCTCCACTGTGGATCTAGATCTGATGTCTCCCAACATCCTCAGACAGTACTTGTGTTAGGAATCATCTTACATTTCTACTTTTTAGATAGCATAAAAATCTTTACTTTCTAATACTAAGAAAATGTTACTCCATTTTATTGGTTGGGTAGGGGAAGAGTACCTATGGACAAGAATTATTCATTGAACTTAACACTGAAATCGGATGCAGTGTGAAATGAGTGTTCTAATTTTAATGCAAGAGTATTAGTGATAACTTTGAAAAAGCATGCAGTATGGAGAAGCAGAGGTAGGCAGGCCAAGCAAGTGATAGCATGAGGGAGCCTTGTGGTAGACCATTCTTGTATCTAGAGTTTGGGGTGCTTACACGAATCTGTGCATGTGAAACTGCACAGAAACTCACACACAAAAATGAACACAAACTTTGTAGACTGTATGAATATTAATATCTTGTTGTTGTGTTGTTGTTGTTAAGTGCCATCAAGTCGGGTCCGACCCATAGCGACCCTGTACAGGGTTTCCGAGGGTGTAAATCTTTACGGGAGTAGAAAGCCTCATCTTTCTCCCGCGGAGCGGCTGGTAGTTTCGAACCGCTGACCTTAAGGTTCGCAGCCCGATTCGTAACCACTACGCTACCAGAGCTCCTTAGGTTTTTAAAATTCTAGTAAAAACAATTTTTAGAGTAAGGAGCTCTAGTGGTACAGTGGGCTAAGCACAGATCCATCAGTGCTCAGTGAGGTTGTCTACTTGTATAAAAATTTAGTCTTGAAAACCTAGCAAAGTTGTTTGAACTGCAAGGTCAGCAGTTCAAGATCACCAGCCACACCCTGGAAACCATATAGAGGGTGACTATGAGTTGGAATCGACTTGATGGCAGTGTGTGTGTGTGTGTGGTAATTATAATTATGCAAGATGTTACCAGAGGGTGAAATTGGGTGAGGAGCACACAGAATGTCCCTGTATATTTTTTGCAACTGTCTGTGAATCCATACTTATTTCGAAATAAAAAGTCAAAGAAAGGTATACAGGGGTGACAGGGATGGGCTACTTAGAAATTGGCTACCCAAAATGGGGGTGCTACAAAGGCAAGTGACTGGCTTATAAGCTTTCAAGAGGGAGCCTAGTTCCAGAGGGTGTGGGGAAAGGTAGAATCTCCACTGAGTGATTTCCAACCTGTCTGGATAGGGCTGATGAAAGGAGATGGGGATAAGACTCTTATGGTTCAATAGTGAATAATTGCTATCAGGACTGACTGGGGGGATTGGGAATGTAAAGGTGGATATTTTGTAACAAAAGGAGGGAAGTGGTGGATTTTGCAGTCCATGAGTGGAGGTCCCTGGGACCATCAAGGGAGTAGAGCAGAGTGCGGGATCCTACCCAGAGAAGCAGTAACACCAGAGATGGAGGCAGAGATGATGATGTGGAGAGGAGTGGCTGGGGACTCTGGACTCAGGGAGGGAGAGGGGCTGTGTGCTGGTAGCCGGGAAGCAGGCTTGAGGGGTGAACCCTTTGGTTGTTTGATGATGCATGGAGGGGACTGTAATCATTGCAATGATATGAAATATGATACGATGAATGTAAAGCTTATGTTCTCCCACGTAAACAATCACTCAATTCATAATAAACACTTAAAAAGAAAAAGACCCAAAAAGCTATACATACTCAGAATCTGACAAAACTAAAAGGTGTTATTAACAGGTCAGGATAGTAGCTACCTGAGTGACTGCAAAGAAGGGCACAAGGGTTGAGGGTAGTGAGGAACTGGAGAAGGGACATTAGCAGATAAGAGACTTTAACTCATTTTTTCATAAGCAGAGCTTATGGAGTAACTGACAAAAGCCCCACCACTCATGTTCTACTCTTAAATAACCAAAACAATGAAGAAAAAACCAGAGCTAAAGAGCAAGCCAGGGTGGGGGTAACAGACCATGTTCCTGTGGGGCCTGCAGTGAAGGAAGCCTGTCCAGGCCTTCTCTACTCAATTTTCCCAGACACAAAACCTGACACTCTCATTTCTATGTGACTCCCCTGCTTCTCCTCAAAACAACAATGTATATTAGTTGCTTTCAAACTTTGTTGTTGTTAAGTGCTGTCCATTCATAGTGACCCTGTATAAGGTTTCTGAGCACCAAACCGTTGGCTATCACCTTCTTAACCAGGCATTGGCCGCACAAGAAGAGAACAGAAAGGATTCCATCAACCACTAAAGTCCCAGTATTACTTCTATTTTAATTCCTAGGACAGTGTCTATGATATATTTTTTAGAAAACAGCTATCCCCTTAAGTGACACAGTATAACAATTCTGCAAAGCTACCTGTTAATGAGGCCTTTTACTTGTTTTTTTAACCTTTCCAGTTGCTCCTTTTTTTGGGCATCCACAGCTTCCTCAGCTCGCCTCACATGTGGGGGTGTATACTTCTCACCACTTTCATAAAGGCTCTGCATGATAGAAGACAAATACATTACAAAATAATCTCCAGTAAATAAATTCCATTTTTTCCTTGCTAAATGCACATTTAAATATTAAAATCTCAAGAGCTAGTGACATGTGATTACTAATGACCACTGCTATTTATTATGCATATTTACTGGGTGCCTGGTATAGTCCTGGAGGAGCCTTCTACTCGTTATTTTTACTGTCAAGATGTCTTACTCTTCCCTCTGCACACCTGCTTGTGCACCTCAGGTATCTGCAAACAGCCTGACCATCTACACTGCCTTTGGCCCAGGCTTAATTGACTGCAAGTCTGGCAGTATTCCTACACACTTAAATTCAATTTACCACCAGTGTCCTGAGATAATTTTCAACTTGCTCCAAAAGAGTATCTAAATTGAATAAAATCAAAAGCAATTTACTGCACACTATTCCTAGCCGATATGAAATGGAAGGGTTATAGGATCATTCTCACTGACCACGACTGCCTGAACACCTTACAGCCAGGCCTTAGGAAACAAACATTTTTAGGGCATGATTCTTACTGTTAGGAATTTTAAACTTGATTGGAGAAAGGCAAATTTATGTAAATATAAATTGAAACCATTTCTACTCTCACAACACACATTATTTCAGATAAACAAGGCTGCTAAAGAAAACTTAGCAACAGTAGGGGGGAAAAAACCCACCAACAAACAACCATCTTAGAAAGTGAATACAATGTACTTGCAGTTAGGCACCAGGGATAGAGATAAAAGGCAGTTGATATCCTTGATGGCAAAAGATTCCCAGAGATGTCAGACATTAGCAAATAAATAGAAACTAAAGCCAGTAAGAAAAAGTAGGAATAGCCCTACAATCAGAAGGGATAAGTCAGAAAGAATGGTATATTAAGAGCAGAATGCCAAAAAGAGTAAGATGCGGAGAAGGAAAAGCAAGTAATTCCATTTACCTGTTTTCAGATGGACGTTAGGGAACGTTTTACAAACAGGTAAGGGACCACACAAAAAAGACCTGGATTCCAGTGTTTGATTTTAAATGGGAAAAACTATCCAAGGGAGTGTTCTGGGTTAGTAGCTTTAGAAAGTGTTAACTTTGGTAGTAAACAAAGCACTGAGTATAGAATGGGGGTGGGGGTGTGGACAGAAGAAGGAGTCAAAACTAAAGTTTGAAAAACTGAGACAGTGAATAGTAATGAAGGAGACGTGGCCTTGGTACATCAACTAGAAATGCCAATTAAGCTCCTGCAATATAAGGAGAAGGATATCATGGTTGGTCAAGTGGAGGGTCAGAGAAATAGAGGAAGACCCCCAGCGAGATGGATTGGTAAAGTGGCAGCTTCAAGGAGCTCAAGTGTGGCAACACTGTGAGGTTGGCCCAGGATCCGGCAGTGTTTCATTCGGCTGTGCATACAGTCGCTATCGACTCGATGGCACCTAACAACAACAATATAAGGTTCTCTAAAAATGGTCCCTCCATCCCCATACCCTTATTATAGAATCCAAAGGCATAAAAGTAAACAGAATCGAAAAACAAATCCGATTTATCCAATCCTGCATGGTGGCTAATGCATTAGCTGCTAAACCCAAAGGTTGGAGGTTCTGGTCTCCCCAAAGAGGCCTCAGAAAAAAGGCCTCCAGATCTTTCAAAAAAAAAAAAAAACCAGCCACTGAAAGCCCTTTGGAGCGCAGGTCGATTCTGACACGAGAGATCTTCATGAGTTCGAAGAGGAAACTTTTTTTTTGTTTAATCGCAAGTATCAGTATGTCAGTGTTGCAAAATCTCTGTCCCTTGCCAGGAACACCCCGGTTATTTGGAAAGAAAGCGCGAAGTTCTGGAGATTGTTCACACCATACCTGATAGGGAGGACCAGCATCCTCTGAAGAACTTGACCTCTCTTTATCTTCTGCAAAACGGACTTTTTTCCCCATCCTCTTCTGCGCTCTCCTGTTTGTTGTCGACTTTTCATTTTCTTCTTCTACACTCTCCTCCTCCTCGCACTGCGCTTCCTCTTCATCCTCTGTCTTTTCTTTTTCCTTCTGCGCTTCCTCCTCCTCACTTTCTTCCGTGGTGTCACTGTCTAAATCACTTTCAGGGAGTGCCTGTCCAGTATCCTCCTCCTCTTCCTCACTACTACTTTCATATAAGCCACCGTTTTTCCCAGATTCCAGGACTCCTAGAATATAGTCTAGCCCATCGCGTGCAAAGCTAAGTGGCACAGAGCTACTGTCGTCCTTCCTTTTGCGCTTCTTCAAGCCCAGGCAGCGCTCCAGCTTTCGGATCTCTCGGTCCTCTTCCTCGTTGGCTGCCAGCAGTGCCCGTTTCCGAGCAGCAGCAGTGGCGGCCACGGAGGGCTTGGACTTCCCCGAGGAGCCTTTCAGACGGGCTTGGGCCTTGGGAGACTTGGCCTTAGCTTGGGGAGGTCTCAACTTCTTGGGAGGAGGTGGGTCTCGACTTACGCTCGGGGGAGCGCTTTCTTCGTTCTTCTCCGACTGAGAACTAATGGTTTCTTGGGCCCGGTCGCGGCGTCCTGGGGCTGGACCCTGTGCAGAGCTTGTAGTCCACTGAGACCGCCGGGCTTTCCTCAGGCGTCGCTTCTCCTTTTTCAACTCCTTGCGGCTTTTTTTCCCCACCGGACGGATGCCCGACGCTGCGCCCAGACTCTCGGCTCGGGACCCCGGGAGCGGTCCCTTGAAGCTTCCGGGATGCGTACCTTCAGAGGTCGCCTGCACAAATCCTTCCACCGCCAGCTTCAGCCGCTTCATGGCCCCTTTCCCTCCATTCCCATGACCGCCGAGCGGCCGGCGACCGCCTTTGCGCTTCATGGGAGCCAAGCATGCAGGGTAAACACCTGGGTCGCTTTAGAACTCTACCATGCACGCCTGGAGGCAGCCATCTTCCAGGAGACGTACTGACGTCAAATCTTCCGCCTTGGGCGGGGCTTTCGAATGCTGAAAGTTGAGGTAGAGCCAGGCGCGAGGCTGTGGGGGACACTACGACACCTTATGGTAGGAGGCCGGCAGGGCCCAGAGCTTCTGTATGTTGTTATGTGCCGTGGAGTCGGTTTCCAAAGAATGACTGGTGGGTTTGAACCGGCAACTTTGTGGTTAGGAGTTCAGGGCTTATCCTACAACGCCACACCAGGACGCCACATAGTTTGAATGTTGTTATTGTTAAGTGCTGTCGAGTCGGTTCCAACCCATAGCGACCTTGTATAGGGTTTCCGAGGAGCGACTGGTGAGCTTGAAACGCAGAGCTTGCAGTTCAAATGGCAGTCGGTTCCCACTCATAGCAACCCTATACAGGGTTTCCCAGGCTGTAAATCTTTAAGGGAGCAGGTGCCCTCATCTTTCTCCCATGGAACGGCTGGTAGTTTCGAACTGCTGACCATGAGATTACTGCTAAATCTTTCTGATAGTCTTTCTCAATTTCTAGTCAGTGTGTGTAAATCCCTATTTTTCCACACAGTCTCAATCCTTAGTATTTTTTTTTTTAAACTTTTTATTGTGACTTGACAAGCTCATCAGTTTAACAGACAAGATCATCAGCTTTACATTCAACAAATCACACATTTGTTTCTTCTTAATGATTACGTTCCCCTCCGTGTTACAGTAGTTATCCCGCTTCTTCCCTGTGGTTCCTACTTGTATTCTACCCACTTCCGCTCCCTTCTCAACTTTGTCCATAGGAAAATGTCGCTCTTTTGATTTTGAATGATTGACGGTTCCATGGTGAGACTATCTGCCCCTCCCCTCCCCCTGTCAACCTATCCTCTGCTGGGATGATAATTAGGCCATGAGGCTGAGTTCCATTTCAGACCTGAAGGGTGGTTGAGGGCCATAGTCTTGGGTTCCTCCAGTCTCTTTCTGACCAATAAGCCCAGTCTGTTTGTTTGTTAACTAATTTTGTGGTTTGTTCCACATTTTCTTCCACTCTATCCAAGACCCTCTAATGCGATTCCAATCAGGGCAGTTGGTAGTGGTGGCCGCACACCATCAGAGTCCTGGAGACTGGTGTTCACTTGTTCCATTAGTCCATTAGACTAATTGATTCCAAGCCTCTTCAATTCTTATCACTCTTCTGTCTTCTGAACATGGAGAGACCAGTGTCTGCACCAAATACTCATGAGCTTTCAAGATCCCTGATGCTACTCACTCAAACAAGATATAGAACAATGTCTTTGTGGATTATGTAATGCCCATTAACCTTGGTGTACCTAAGATGATTTGTTGAACCCCGGTCCATAAACTCATTGCCTTAGATCAGTCCTTCGTATTTTTAAACATTTAAATTTTTGCCCACTTGTCAGCTGAGAATGATATTGCATTGCTATTTTAATTCCTCTTGAAAATGGTTATCTTTTTATATGCTTGTCAACTATTTGCATTTCCTATATGTTAATGGCATGTGCCTATTTTCCTTATATATCTTGTTCTTGTTAAGTATTGTCCTATCGGTTTTGACTCATAGTGTATCTGTCTAGGGTTTCTCTGAGGAGTTGCTGGTAGGTTTGAATGTCCAACTTTGTGATTAGCAAAGTGTTTATCCATCAGGGTCACACCAGGACTTTTTCTGTATTTTAGGAGTTCATTATAAATAAAGGTTCAAATTAACCCAAAAGCACCTCAAAAGAAAGGCCTGTCAAGTCACTTCTGAAAAATGAGCCATTGAACACACTGTTGAGCCCAGATGGCATTGCCAAGAGTTGGGATGAGCTGGTTTATAAATGAAAACTTTTGAATGTGCAAAAAATATTTACATACACATATCTTTCATGTATGTGTGAATATTTTCTTAAGGTAAATGCTTAAGGTAATTTATCACTATTAAATTATTTAATTAGTAATATATGAACAGTTGCTAAGTGCCATTGAGTCGATGCTGACTCATAGTGACCCATATAGGGTTTCCAAAGTTTGAACTGCCAACCTTTTGGTTAGCAGTCCAGTGCTTATCCTATTGCGCCGCACCAGGACTCCACACACACAATGCAAAACTCAAAATGTGAAAGCCAGTCTACCACCTGTGCTTATCCCTACCTGTCAGTTCTCTTTCTAGGAGGCAAGCACTATTACATTCTTGTTACTGTTGTTGGTAAGTGCCCTGAAGTTGTTTCCAAATCATAGCAACCCAGTATAGGGTTTCTGAGGAGTGGCTGGTGGGTTTGAACCACTGACCTTATGGTTAATAGTCCAGTGCTTATCCTATAGCACCACACCAGGATTCCATTACATTCTTAGTGCCCTTTTAAAAGTATTCTATACCCAATAAGTCACAATGAAGTGTGTGTGTATGTGTATGTACATACTTTACTTCATAAATGTTAGTTAAGAAATGTTTTGTTTTATAACTTGCTTTTTCAGTTTTCTACTACATCTTGGTGAATGTGTTACCAAATTCACCACTACCATATTGGTTCAAACCATCATCTCTCTCTTATATTACTAAAGAAGTTTTCTATCTGGTCTACCTGCATCTGACCCCCTACAGTATATTCTCAGTGGAGTAAGCAAAGTGATACTTTAAAAAATGAAAATAATATCATGTCACATCACTGCTCAAACCCTTTCATCCTTGAGGTTTCTGAAACACACAGACGTGGTCCTACCTTAGAGCTTCTCTCTGGTTTTTCCTTCTTTAAGGAAAACTTTCCTAGCTATCTACAAGGCTCATCCCCTCTCTTCCTTCAAGTCTTTACTCAAATGTCATCTCAGTGAAATCTATCCTTGACTACCCTATTTAAAAAACTGCAAACATCTATCCCCTATCTACTCACCCTCCCTAGCATTTATTGCCTGACATCGCTTACTTATTAAGTTTCTTGTTTGCTTTTCATCGTTGGAATGCAAGCTTCAACAGTGAATAGATTTATTGTCTCATGGACCTATCTCCAGGGTTAGAATAGTGCCTGATACATAATAGACACTCAATAAATAGATGTTCAGTAAGTGCAAACTTTGTTTGTTTTTTGTTGTTGTTGTTGTTGTTGTTGCTGTTGCTGTTGCTGTTAGGTGCCATCGAGTCGGTACCAACTCATAGCGACCCTATTGACAACAGAATGAAACATTGCGCAGTCCTGCACCAACCTCACAATCATTGTTACAATTAAGACCATTGTTGCTGCCACTCTATCAGTCTATCTTGTTGGAGGTCTTCCTCTTTTTCTCCGACCCTCCATTTTAACAAACATGTTATCCTTCTCCAAGGACTGATTCCTCCTGAAAACATGCCCGAAGTATGAGAGATGAAGTCTGGCCATCCTGGCTTCCAGGGAACATTCTGACTGTATTTCTTCCAGCAAAGATTGGTTTGTGTTTTTTTTTTGACAGTCCATAGTACTTTCAATATTCTCCAACACCATAACTCAAATGGATCAATTCTTCTCTGGTCTTCCTTATTCACTGTCCAATTTTCACATGCATATGAGGTTATTGTTTTTCATTGATTGCAATTTATTTGATTGTAAGGGGTTGCTGTGTTTTTGTTGCTACGTGCCATCTAATCATCTCTGAAATAGGCACTCTATGTGAGCATGAATAAAACAGAATAAGATACTACCTGATCTTTTCCCATTCTCATAACCATGGCTTTGTTTGAGCCCATAATTGCAGTCACTGGGTCAGTCCACATCATTGTGGATCTTCATCTGTTTGCTGACCTTCTACTTTATCAGGCATGATGTCTTTCCCCAGGGATGGAGCCCTCCTGATACCATACCCGAAGCAGATGAGTTGAAGTCTTACCCTCCTCACTTCTAAGGAGCATTCTGATTGTACTTCTTTCAAGATAGATTTGTTCATTCATCTGGCAATCCAAGGTATATTCAGTATTCTTTTCAAATACCATAATTCAATTGCATCAGCTCTTATTCAGCCTTTATTATTCATTGTCCAGCTTTTATATACATATGAGGCCTATGAGCCAGTTAAAAATAACATGGCTTGGGACAGGTGTACCTTAATCCTCTTTGCTTTTTAACATTTTTGCAGCAGATTTGCCCAGTATAATTCATTATTTGATTTATTGACTGCTGCTTCCATGAGTGTTGATTGTGGATCCAAGTAAAATGAATTCCTTGTCAAATTGAATCTTTTCTTGTTTTTCATGATGTTGTTTATTGGGTCAACTGTGAGAATTTTTGTTTGAAATATTTCAAGAATTACCAAAATGTGGCCTAGAGACATGAAGTGAGTACATGTTGTTGGAAACATGGCGCAGATAGATTTGCCTGATGCAGGGTTGCCACAAACCTTCCATTTGTTTTTAAAAAAAAGGGGGGGGTATCTATGAAGTGCAATAAAGCAAAGTATAGTAACCAGATGTGCCTACACACACACACACCCCTACCCCCCCCCCCTTTTTTTATGGCATTCTTGCTTCTGGTTTTCTTTTGTTTAAGAAAAGCAATAAAGCAATGTACATTACATAAAATGTAGTCGTGTTTTTATAAAAAACTATGAATAATCTTTATTATTACTACTTTTTATTCTGAGAATATTATTATTTTTTATACTAAGCAGATACTTCTGGGAACAAGCTGCTTGTTCCTTCTCTACCTGGCTTTTATAGACCTGGTCTTCTCATCTACTGTTGTCAGTTGTCATGTCCTAGTGTAACTCTGCTCCCAGGGCCTAGCTTATTGTCTTACACAGATTTGTGAGTGAAAGCCTACCAGCAGTGACTCTGTGGATTTCTGGCAGATAAAGCATAAGGACTGGGTTACCATTCAACCTAGTAGCCTTCACTTGGAATCCTGCCTGGGGTATGATTGGGAATCCCTATTGATTGCACAGGGTCACTGCCTTCAGGGATTTATATTGGGGAA